TGGCAAAATAGTTCAGGTTCTTTCAGCGGTCTAACTTCACTTGATCTTGAGCTGTGGCTCTGATAAAAGAGTACTTTGCGCATTTGCTCCAAATTTGCACACGTGTACTTTACATACTGTTTGGTTCGAGCATGCAAATGCATTGAGCTGTGCAAAATAATTAAAGGTTTTCACGTGTGTGCAGAAATTGACATGAAGAAGCAAGCTGGAGTAGAAGGAAACTAGATTTTGAGAATTTTTTTAGGAAGTTTTCTGCCGCTTTTTCAATTTCACTGTCATTTTTGACCTTGAAAAAGTTAGAAATACATCAAAGCTGCTGGTGCGACCATGCAATTTTGCAGGATTCTGTGTAGCAACAAGATCGTTATTAGCAAAAACTTAAACTGCTCCGCAGTTTGACATGTGCCGTCCTGTTGAGAGTGCTCGTGTTATTCTTTTCTTTCACCATGGAAAAGAGCTACCAACAATACTGATAGGGTTATACTACGGAACAGCGTGGAAATTCAGTTTTTGTCCAGTGTGGTCGCCGCGTAAGAAGGATGCAAAAATCCTCCAATCTGAAATTTGACATGTGCTTTCACAAGATATACTTTTGTGGAACGCTGCTTAATCTTTGTAAAAATTTAGTTTCCCAGCTTCTTTGTTTGTGAATTGAAAGCTCGACTAAACACACACGCAAACAAACAGACAATCTTGCTAGAGGCGGGAGAAAAATTCCAAAACGAAAATGGATTTCTTTGAACTGCGGGCGCACCTGCCCGTTTGAATTACAGAACATACAAAGCTAGAAAATAGAATTTTTGGGGAAAGATTGTGCGCAAAGACGTGGTTTTGAAATAAGCACACACTTCTTCTGTGCCTTAATCGGTAATCGCCTATTTGAGTTCAAGCCAAACTGCGTTTCTTGTTCCACCTTTAAACCGCATAGGTTAACCATTTCATATAAAATAAACACTTCCAATTTGCCTTAAAGTTTTCTTTAGCCCGATTTCGCAAACTCCAAATTTAGGTCAAATTTATAATTTCAGATCAGAGAACGAATAACGAAATTTCAGACTCTTAATTCCGCATTCAGTGCGAATAAACGAAACTCGCTTTTAAAGGCCATGATCTTTGGCCTCACCCCAAATTTAGGATGATTCCATGAATTCAAAATTTACGGAGCTGAAAACCAGATTTCTTTAACTAAAAGTGGAAAATTTGAATGTTTGTTTTATAAAATCGTAATGTGGGCTTTTAGGTTGATTCCATAAATTCAAAATTTACCGACCTGAAAGTCAGATTTTTTAAGTTAAAAGTAGAAAAGTTGAAACTTTTGTGTTATAAAATTGTAATATGGCTACATGAAACATAATCTCCCAGTGTCCTGATCCAGCACACTCTAGTTCTATAGTTCTGATGGTTGTCGGTAGCGAAAGCTAAAAACAGTTTCTCATGCTAAATAATGCAAATTGGTAATAATTTCAGTAATCGAGTGAAACGGCAATGGGATGGCATGGGGTATTCGCCATATCAGTACACATACAAATACAAAACACCATTTTACAAAGTGAAAATCAAGACTCCTTATCCGATTGGTGACGCTGGCGGTCAATTTGGAGGTGGGGGCTTCGGTGGCCCATACGGAGGAGGTTTCGGTGGAGGATTTGGATATCCAGGCTTTCATCAACCATTCGGTTTTGGATGGGGCTGATAAAAAACAGTGGCTGCTGATTTATCAGACAATTTTGTAAATTCTTTTAGTCGGCTCTCTGGCAGTTTTATCTAAATTATTGTATTAAAAAATACCAGTGTACTGTCATCAAGGAAAGCACGTAATCTATTATAACACAGAGAAGTGTGACATTTTAAGCTACTTTGGAAGAATTGGGAACAGTACT